CCAGTCTGTCCAGGTCTCTCTGGATGGCAGCGGAGCCTCTGGTGTGTGAGCCACTCCTCCCAGCTTTGTGTCATCAGCAAACTTGCTGACAGTGCACTCTGCTCCCTCATCCAGGTCATTTATGAATATATTGAATAATACTAGTCCTAAAAACTGCCTTCAGTTTTTATCTTCTCCACCATCTCGGGAGGTTTTTGGAAGTTCACGTTCTCTCATACCATTTCAAAAGCATTACTGCTGAATAAGTTATCACAGTTTTTCTCTTCTGAAGGATCAGGCTTGATCGTAATTAAATTTGATGTTGTTTATTGCTGACTTCCTTTAAAATCTGCCCATTTTACCACTGTTACCAAAACATTATTTCTCTCTAGCTTGCCCATCAGTGCATGAGGGAGGTACGTCGAGCTGCTATCCAGGCCCAGAAAAACTGTAAGGAAACTCTACCACGAGCACGTCGTCTTACCAAGGAGATGCTTCTCTACTGGAAAAAGTATGAGAAGGTGGAAAAAGAACATCGCAAACGAGCTGAGAAAGAGGCTCTGGAGCAACGGAAGTTGGATGAGGAGATGAGAGAGGTACAGCAAAACCACAGATTGATGATAATTAATCTGTTGGGGAGACACAGAAGTGACCAGATAATTTAAATTTCTAAATCCAGGCCATGAAATTCAGTTATTTGTTCTATTTCAGTGGTATTTACTTCTACTGCTATCTTAAAATTCTTTATATAATTCTTCTAGTGTTAGTTAGAGCTGATAAAAAAGCCTTCAAACTGCATAAATTCTTTACAAGTGAATGAAGTGGAGGAAAGGATTAGACAAGCAAAGTGTCTGACAGACATACATAACTCAGTGTTAGTAAGGACCAGGCTTTTGTGGTGGCTTGTACATCATTCTGGGTCCAGAAGACAAACCACCTTTTCATTCACATTGAATTTTCTTTTTTTTTCTTCCCCCTGCTGTAAACTGATATCACAATTTATATATAGGGCACAAATTTTTTCTGTTAGTGCTTTTTGTTGTTGTTGTTGTTGATCAAGTGACAGCTTCATGGACTCCCTTACAGAGTAATAGATGGGTTGAATTTAAGAAAAAGCTTTCATGCCAAAGCTCTAGTGGATTTATGATTGTTACCTTACATGTGTGGTGATAAACTAAGGTTGAATCTTTAGAGCACCTGATATTTAGTTTTATGCTCAAATTATGTTTTTATTTATTGTGTTCCTCTCATTCTTGCAAGTTCATAAGCATTTTTTGAGGGTTTCAGCTGACTTAGATTAATACACAACTTCTTACTATAGCATTTTTTAACCAGAACCTAAGAATTAATAGAGTTTCTGCAACGTCTTGCTGAACCCCAAACCATGATAACATCTCAACTGTACTACCCAGTGGTGCATTTCATGTGTTCAACCATAATTCTCTTTAGTAATAAATAAGAGAATGTTGGAGTTAGGTTGTCAGGAGAGATTCTTTTAGCTGTTCACTTCTTTTACTGTAGACCACTAAAATCCTGTTTATTTTAATTAAATATTTTAATTTTTCAGTGGAAACAAAACTTTTAAACTTTCTTCTGTTAGATTATGGTGCTCTTTGCCATGATTACTGAATTTAAAAGAGCTTTTCATTTATAACAATTTTATATTTTAATATAGGGGTTTACGGTGGTGGTCAGTGTTCTTATATACAACTAGTATTGAAGCATTTTTATATCACAGTGATGTGCGTAATATAACCTAGATAGATTAGTGGTTGATATATTATTAGATTAAAATTTTTTTCTTTAATTATATTTTAAACATTTAACCTTTGTCCTGTTTTGTTTTGGGTTTTTTTTCCCTCCATCTGTTTTTTGTAAATGCTTTTCTCTTAGGCTAAGAGGCAACAGCGAAAACTTAACTTCCTGATCACACAAACTGAATTATATGCCCATTTTATGAGTCGTAAACGAGATATTGGGCATGATGGAATACAGGAGGAAATCCTACGCAAACTGGAAGACAGCTCTACCCAAAGGCAGATTGATATTGGTGGAGGAGTAGTAGTCAACATCACCCAAGAAGATTATGGTAAGTGATTCATGTACAATCCTTCCTGTGCACCATTTTGAAATTTACTGTACTCTGCATGTTATTGTGCAAACTTACTATTTCAAGCAAAAAATCTTTCTATGTGAGAAGCACTGAATAATTACTGGAATTTACCTTTGTGTTAGTTTTGATGGTTGCTGCTGCAGAGCTCTAACATGGAGATGTTGTTTTCAGACAGTAACTATTACAAGGCTCAAGCTCTGAAGAATGCTGAGGATGCTTACCAGATTCATCAGGCCCGGGTATGTATTTTTTGGATCCATGAAGTAGAAAAGAAAGCAGAGTAATTGGGTAAAGGCCACAGAACCGGGGTCTTTCAAGTCAAGGAGGTTTGTGAAATCCTGGCTGCCAGATCAGAATTTAATTCCATTGCCACTTTCTGTGCTAAATAGGTAGAAAAACAGAATATAAAGATTTAGGCTATAGGAGCAGGCTGTTTTTTTTTCTGTCAGATATCCTGTGTCTTAATGTGAAGTATAAAACCTTTTACTGTACAGTTTCTTCATAAATTAATGTGTTCATCATCTTATGCATACTTTCCTTTTCCTGTTTAGACCAGATCATTTGATGAAGATGCAAAGGAGAGTCGGGCAGCTGCTTTGCGGGCTGCTAACAAGTCTGGTACCGGCTTTGGAGAGAGCTACAGTTTAGCAAACCCATCTATCCGGGCAGGAGAAGATATTCCACAGCCTACTATTTTCAATGGAAAACTGAAAGGTTACCAACTGAAAGGCATGAATTGGCTGGCCAACCTATATGAGCAGGTATCTTAGTACATCTTGCAGATTTTTAGAACTTCTAGAATGATTTAAGTAATTAGAGTAAACTTGGTCAAAGAAAAAAAGAATGGTTTTAGAAATAGAGTGCACATACTAAATCTGTAATGTCTTTAGAAGAAAGGAAAATATTATGTAAACCACCTATCAATTTCTTGATTATTTTGGAAATAACAACTTTGAATGGGGTATTAAGTTCAAGGTTCTTTATGTGGGTGTTTATACAATTGTTTATCACTTAGATTATACACCAGGGAAACTTTCAGTGTTTCAGGCTTTGGTCAGCTGGCAAACTGCAGGCAGCCTTGTCCTGATGTGCATCCCCAGTTGGCAATGTGACTGCAAAGGGCAGACAGGCTGAGGAAAAAAATCAGCCTGAGAAATGAATGAAAGTACAGTTGAGAGAAGTTATCTTTTAGTAGAAGACATAGGAGACAATACAGTGTTTCAGAGTTGTTACACCGGGGCTGCTCCCCCTAAATTCAGTGCCAGCCATTCTGCTGGTCCTGTATGGACTGAAAAGTAGTAGAGCGAAAGGTGTTAATTTCTGGATCTTTTGCAGGGCATCAATGGAATCCTGGCAGATGAAATGGGTCTGGGTAAAACAGTACAAAGTATTGCTCTCCTTGCACACCTGGCTGAGGTAGGTGGATTATAGCTGATTCCTGGTCTGCATGCTTGGTGGAAGATGCATACTTTTCACGTGTTTGAAATGAATCCTGGATTATAAAGCTTAAATGTCTTAAAAAGCATTTTAGCTATGGCATTTCCCTTTGTTTTAAAGCTATGCCTTTGAAAGGGTGTGTGTGTAAGTACCTGTGTGTGTACCTAGGTATGTATGTGTGTGTGTGTGTGTTTGTATAAGTATATATATAAATAAAAATGGAATTTTCATTTATTCACAGAGTAGTATCTTTTCACTTGGACTTAGTGTGAAAGCCTGGTAAGAGAACAAGTTTTAGACTTCATGGTTCACTGACTTTTACAAATCAGAGAGACTTGTAGAAATGAAGCCCAAATTCTGAGCTTCGTGGCAATCAATGTTGATTTCCATATTTGTGGGGTTTTTTCCAGGAAGCATAGTTATTCTTCTGTGCCAGGGCAGACAAACAAAACAGAAAAAGCAACAGGAGCTTACTTCTTTATGCAGAAATCGATATCTTTATTTAAAAAAAAAAGTGGATCAGCATGCAGTCACTTGCCTCAAATAGGAGATAACAACCAAGTGATACTGAGAGCAGAACTATCTGCAGTAGTGACCAAGTGACGCTTATGTGTGTTTGTTCATGTTCTTTTTAATACCAGTTTGCTGGCACTGTCAGCCAAAATAGTGGAAGAGTGTGCAGAGCCAAAGGCTCTTGAGCTCATCTGTGTGGAAGAGATAACAGTGTCGGCTTGTTTCCCTGTTGCACTGCAACTCGGGATTTTTTTGGAAGCCTACACAGGGCTTTTATTATTTTCTGGCTCTTCCTTCTGCCAGCTTGTAACCACCAATGCACTAATGGCCCGACTTTGTTATTCACCAGAGGGCATTCTGATGTGGTGTGATGGAGCAAAGCTTGTCAGTGCCACCTGAAGTTGTTTTCCTCCCCAAATTGATGGGAGCTGTTAGCAACGTGAAGGTGGCAACTTTCAGAAACGGAGGAGCGAGGCAGGTTGAAACAGCGGTGGTTGTTCTGGTTTGCTGTTATGAAATAAGTCTGAGTTAAACATTACATCTGCTCTATTTGATTCTGTGTCACCCTGCTGTGCTGGGAGGAAGCTTTATTATGTTCCATATGGTTGCCTCTCTATGTAGCTGCTGTCATTTAGTAGTTGTAAAGCTGTATCAGACTGTCTCTGTGTCCCTTTCCCCCCAATTAATTTCTAGGTGTCTTTTTTTTTTATGTGTATATTCCAGAGAGAGAACATCTGGGGACCTTTTTTAATAATTTCACCTGCGTCTACTCTTAACAACTGGCACCAGGAGTTTGCCAGATTTGTACCTAAATTTAAGGTAATAACCATGTGCAAGAAAATTATTTCTGTTTTCTCAATGCTGAGTTCTTTGCTGCATCTGGATGCTTAATTACCTTGGAATTTGAAACTCTGTAATGGGCCTGATTTCTGATTTTTTTTTCTTTTTTTTATCCATCATTCTGTTTTTTTCTGGAGCATTAAATTATCTGTGGTTTAAAAATGTTCTTACTTGAATCATATGATTTTTACTTTGTATCAAGTTGAAGACACCCTCTCAAGGGGGAATTGAAGTGGGGCAGGGAGTGGACGTTCAGTTCTAATGTGTGAGGCTGGCAGCAGATACAAGAATAATATTTCAGTCTTCTGTACTGTCTTTAGGGTTGGAGCACTGTTTTCAGTAATTCACATCAATTTGGGTAGGAGAGCGATTGTATGTGAACAAAACTGAACTGTAAACAGATTAGAAGGAGAGAGAATGTGGTTGTTATTACAGAAAAATAGAAGAACCCTAGACATACAACCAGTAGTCAAGAGGAAGGAGAGAAGTGAGGCACAAATAGATAAGAACAAAATGATTAGAAGAAAACAAATGGAGTTATTCAGGTATATTGTGAATGTGACAGCATATTAAATAGAAAGCAAAGAGCAATCAGTTACTGAAGGACAAGCTGCTTACCTGTTCCTCTGTGATAAACATTGGAGTGTTGCAAAAGAAGATCTGAAAAGAACGTGGACCACTGAAATAGTGCTGAAATTTTGGAATTAAAGATAGACAAAAGTGTCAGAAGCTTGCAGTTACATCTGCAAAGAAGAACAGATTATAGTTTAAATACTTGAGTTGTTAGTGGAGTAACTTTTGATAGAAAAAATCTAAATCAGTTTTTTTTAAACATCTGATTTTCATTAAGACAACATATAAGAACAGTGAAAGACACCTAGTTATAAGTAGCCAGGATACCAGTAACATCCAAGCTAATTGTTTGAATCTCTTGACTACTTAATAAGATGGAGGAAAAACTAAGTAATATTTGATTTCTTGATCTGGGGTAGGGCAGTATTAAAGGAGTTGCCTTTTACCAAATAGGTTGTTCTGCAGACCCCTGATGAGACCATATGTTGGTTATGGTGGTGTTTAGTTTGAGATATCTATATGAGGAGAAGTTGTACTAGAACATAGTTCACTACTGGATTATTCAAGTGGCTTATATTTTGGGATAAATTTGGATTACTGAGACTTCAAAGAAACTGATGAAGAAATAGAAATGCTTAAGTTAGTGAGGAGTTACTTTAAAAAAATCCCTAAAAATAATCCATTTATGTATTTGCACAGCCCATAACAATAAGAGCCCTGATTAGAAACCCTGGAGTAGAAAACATTGGAGCAGTTGGCCATTCTACCCACTTACTCTCATTTGTTTTAATCAGTTCATTGTACTGAATAGATGAGCAACTGTTTATACTTTCTCTTTCTCATGAATAAAATAACAAAAAAATGTTTAAAAAATGCAGCCAAGATGCTCGTGAACAGATAACTTCCCCTTTTTTGATTTTAAAAAAGAAATTCTGTTTCTGTCATTATATAGGTGGTGTTGGGTTTATTGCATAATAATGTTTCCCTCATCCATGGAATGGAACTTTTTTTTTTTTTAAATAATTTTTCTAAACTTAGGATTGTTACACGTTTACAACTTTAGTCAGTCTTTTTCAAACAGTTTTGTTCCTGCTTCTAATCATACACAAGTGCTTCTCATCATACAGAAGTGTGGAGTTAATTATGCTTGTAGCAAATCACAGTGAATTAATTTCTTCAGGTCCATGGCAGAATATGTAAACTAAAAGGCAAATAGCTTTTTTAGTCTACTGTTTTTACTAGCATCCTTATTTCAGAACAGCTGGAGGAATATTCAACTAAAGGCACTTTGAAATTTGAAGCTTGTTAGTTGATGGATGTTTAAGACCTTTAGCAGCCTCAGAAACCAGCTTTCCTCCCTTTCAGTCTGAGTTGGGTGTAGTCTTTTAATCAGGCAGAAGATGGCAGTACAATATTATTTACCAGTAGCTGGTTTCCGTGCACCACAAAGATCCGCTCTGAGTAATAGGACCCATGAAATTCTGAACTATAGATGGATTAACAGATTTCTCTAACATTAGTCCATACTTTTCAGAATTCTTATATAAAATTTGTAAAGGCCAGATGTTTTAACTTTATCTCAGATTTTTGGGGACAGTTCTGAAATACAAAAGCAATAGGACAACCAGTAACATTAAACAGGAGAACAAGCCCACTAGTCCTCTGGGGTTAGCTGTAGCAGTTGAGGGCAGACCCCTTTAAAAGTATAATTTTTAATTTTTAGAAAAGCCTGACGAGAAGGCATAACATGCTACTGTGCATTTGGAGATTCTCACCATAACTTAATCTAGTCTTTGTGTTAGGCATAAGTTGTTTGATACCTTTGCCTGAAGTACTCTGTTTCTAAGTATTTTTAAGTGCTTTCTGATTTTTTTCTGTGTTCAGAAAGATAATTTCCCTTTTTGTTGTTTTGGAGAAAGAGGTCTGTCTCGTTTTGTAGAATACTTAGTACAAAATTTTAGAGCATGTGTATCTTTATTTGAAAATAATGTCTTTCTACTTTTGTACTGTTCTAGGTGCTACCCTATTGGGGAAATCCCCATGATAGAAAGGTGATCAGGAAGTTCTGGAGTCAGGTAATACCAGCATGCCTGTGTGCTTCAAGCATTTTTATTATTTTTAAAGAGTAAACCAGAAACTGTTGCTACACCCCACCAAGCTAAATGATGTGTAGATACAGAGTTCTGTTTCTTCATCCATGTAGTAGGCAAAATGATTCTCTTGTGCTGGAGAGCAATACAGTACAGGGCAATTCAGGGCAGTATGGAGTTTGGTTGGAGAAACTAGAGCTCTGTAAATAAAGCAGAAAGGTTTAATGTCAAGGACTGTTTATTCTATTTGAGTAACATAACTCAGGGTGCCCAAGTCTATCATCCCTGCAGGCCTGTCAGATTGTTCCTAATTTAACAGCAGCATTTTGTAGTGTTCAGTGCCTGGGTCTTGTCTGGCACATTAAGAAGCATCTGAAATTGTTCAGGGACTAATGGGCTGAAATCCAGATCCACCAGTTGAATAACCATGCTGTAATTAATTTAAAAAGTCAGCTGGGAAAAAATGCAGTATTAATGAGAAAGGATTATGAAACAGAATTCTGAAATTACAGTATACACAAGTGAACTCTGCACAATGTATTTACATTATGTTAACATTTGTTTCTTATTTTGTGGGTATAGAAGACATTGTATACTCAGGACGCTCCTTTCCACGTGGTGATTACCAGTTACCAGCTGGTAGTACAGGATGTGAAGTATTTCCAGCGAGTGAAGTGGCAATATATGGTGCTGGATGAAGCGCAAGCACTCAAGAGTAGCTCCAGGTAATAAATTAACTGGAAACAAAATCTGCCCTCTGTATCAACCTCTTGAAGGAATATTGAGAAAACATCAGGATTACACAAATTGATAGAAGTTACAATTGACACACGTAAGACCCTTTAAGTGTCTGACCTCATTAAGTATCTGTGTAACTCACTGGATTGATCCAGTGGTTTTTTGCATTTAGATTTTCCTCCTTCAGATATGTAAAATGGAATTTTAAAGTTAATTGTGGAGAAGAAACTTGCATGGAGTACAGGATAGTTAAACAAAACAGTGTGAAATGCTGTTCACCTTCTTTCCTGACTACTCACAGAATTCTGCCTAGTGAGCAGCCTGTAGTTTTTAGTGTGTACTGCTTATATTGGCTCCGTTAAATGCATTATTTTGATTCCTCCTTCAGTGGCACTTCCAGACACAAATGAAGGTCAGAACCCTGTGAATACTGTTGGCTGCAATAAAGCCCAATCTTTGTCCTGTGACTCTGTGCCAGAAAGTTTTCTGGTTGTTTTCAAGTAATAGATTTGTCAGTCTTTCCTTCTCTAATTGCTTTCCCGTAACCTTTGCCCAAGTTGCCACTGTACATGGTGAGTTAAAGGCTGCTTTAGATGTAAACTCATTCTGACTGAAGTCTGTCTCCACCATTCTTTGGAAACTGCCCCTCTAAGGGGATTCTAATGTGTAGCTCAGCACTCCCACCACAGGAGCCCATACACAGTGATGTGAAGTCAGAAAAATACATGACATTTTGATTAATAACTCTTTCTTTTGGGAAGTTAGTTATTTTCATTATGAGATTTTATTAGTATCCAAGTATTTGTATTAAAAATGAGTAAAAAGATACTTAGGAAAAAAAATAAATTGTGCACGTTTCTTTGTAATTTGTAAAATGCTCCTTCTTCCTGTCATTGTCTTTCGAAAGACTGAGGAGTAGCTGTGATAGTTTTACCCAGTGACCTCCAAAAATCGTTTGGGAAGGTCACTGAAAGCAATTGGTCTTAAAATACCTTACATTTCATATCCTTCTACAGAAAAGTTTTAATGGTTTTTCTTGATTTTATTCATCAGTGTTCGTTGGAAGATCCTACTACAGTTCCAGTGTCGAAATAGATTGTTGTTGACTGGGACTCCAATCCAGAACACGATGGCTGAGGTATTCCAGAGCTCACAAGAGTGGATTTTGTTTATAACAAGAATATATACTAAATATATGTGAACAGTTGAGAAACATTGTATTTGTGTGGTTGTGGGATCATGCCTATTGTAGCATACCACTGGTGAACAAACATGGAATCAGCTCTGGGAGGGGACAATTTGGAAGCGCGCTATGCGTTCAAATAAAATGAAAACTGAAGATACTGGATGGTCAGTAATAACCTAGATTACACGATAAAATCTAATTCTTGTGGCTTTTCAGCCAACAGAAGCAAATCATTGTGCTGTGTTTCACACTGCTTTCAAATGGTGTTTTGTTAAGTTGATATACCTGGCTTTGTCTGGGAGGGAGGGTGGGAAGAGGATGCAGCTGTTTGGGGTTTTTTGTTGTGGTTTTTTTTTTTTAATTTTGCCATGTCTCATGATCTAGTAAAGTGATCTTGCTCATAAAGAGCTGCAAGGGTTTAGGATCCCCACTTTCCTTGTCCACAGTAGGATGACTTTTGCTGATCTACTGTTTTCTCCTCTCCTTTTAGTTGTGGGCCCTGCTGCATTTTATCATGCCAACACTGTTTGATTCCCATGAAGAGTTCAATGAGTGGTTTTCTAAGGACATAGAAAGCCATGCAGAGAACAAATCTGCCATTGATGAGAGTGAGTGCAGTGTGTAACTGCAGTAGTTTTTATATTAAAAATCTGTTGTCTTTTCCAGCTAATAACGAATAAACAGGATCTCTCATTTTTTGTATGAGAAATGTCTTCTAAAGCAGAGAGTGCATAATGGGATTGGAAAGTTACCAATTGTTCTCCATAGTTTATGTCAAAGTTTGTGTTTCTGACTGTAATGTAGCATGTGTAATGAATAGAAAAACGTGTAGTGAAAACGTTGATTTACTACTTGTCTTCAGTCCTTCTCCGTCCCAAACACAGGAGAACAAATATTTTAAATATTTCTAAGTTTCTACAGAGCACATAATCTTGGAGATCTGAGTGTGTTACAAGCTCTAGACATAAAAATTATTACACAAAGCACTAAACACCTTTTGAACACCAGAAGAAAAGCACAAAAAATCTTTATAAAAAAAAAAAATCTCCATAGTAAATTTTAGGGGATAATTATGTAGAAAAATCTAACTTACCCCTCTAGCAGGGTAAAATAGCTGATTTGTAGTTGGAGTACGACACAGTACAGTTGGAACTTGTCACAAAAGCAAAGGCTTTGAGTTCTCAAATACCCAGAACATTGTTTTTACAGAGTATCGTAAAGACTGCAGTTGTCTGTCAGTGCAGTATGCCCTGGTTTTGTGATGCTATAGTTTTGGAGGGTGAGACTTAAAACTGTAATGATCTATTTTCATGAGTTAGCAATGTCTCATCTGAAATTTTATTCCTCTCTAATAGTGAGAGGTAAATTTAAGCTCACATTGTTCAGCCCAGAGGAATATAGAACACATGAAATGCTTTAGAAATTCATTCTTTGAAGTAGATCTTTGGATTCATAAGTTAAACAGTGTAGCTCAGCACTCATTTAAAAAAAGAAAAATCAACAGAGAAATGCCAACTCTGTACTGTAATAACTCACACAGGGGGAAATGGCTGAGCAGTAGGGGACTTAATTCGTAGTAGAACATCATGTAGTTTTCTTCTTTGGTGAAGTAATTGTTCCTTCTTCCCCATTCCTTGTATTTCAGATCAACTGTCTCGCTTGCACATGATCCTGAAGCCTTTCATGTTGAGAAGAATCAAGAAGGATGTGGAAAATGAGCTGTCAGATAAGGTGAGAAAAAGTATTTATCTAGAATGAGTATTTCAACTTTATTGTCATAGCTCTGTTTTCTAATCTGGTTCTTGCAAACTCATTTGGCAGTCTGCATACCTGAAATTTCATCATAGACCTTTCACAGACCGTCAGTTTTTGGCACCAGGTTGTGGCAGCAATCTCATTAGATGTGAATGTAACCAAAGAACCCCTAATTAATAAACTTTTCTTCTAGGGAAAATATTTTAACAGTTACAAATAAAAAAAATCTTTAAGCCTTATTAACTTGACTGAAGTATCACTAATTGAAGTGAAGGAGATTGATACAGCAATGATTGGGTGATAAACATCTCCAGTTGCCTTTGTGAAGGATTTGGCATGGATTTAGGATTCTTTTTGCTTGCTTTTAAAGAGCAAGAAATGCGTTATGACAACACCATACTTTACTCTCTTGTTAGTCTCTTTAATTTCAAGTGGATATTAGCAATACTTGATGATCTTGTGGTCAACATGTCTCCAGGTTTTGGGACCACTGGCTAAGAGACATCTACTTTGTTTCGATGTGCTTATTAATTTTAAAACTAGAACTTCCCACAGACACTGTTGATATGTGATGAACCTGTTGTTACCATGGGCCCCTGACACCAGTTTAAGATGGCTCTAAATGGGCAGCATTTTAGCACTAGGATGGTAGAATTGAGGTCAGATTTTAAAGTGATCAGCTGAAGATGTGATTTTTTCAGAGGTTCTTATGAATGTATCTGTTTATTTAGTTGTGCTCACGTACTTCTAAAGTTCTGTCTCCTACATCATTACCTAAGCCTTCCAAAACACACTTGTATGTTAAATCCTTCCCAGGTTGGATCCTGAAATAGAGATATGAACGTGACTGCCTATATATGTATTTCTTGAGAAAATTATGTTTCTTTTAAGATATGTTTCTCTTTGCTTTGTGTTTACTGATGTGGTCATCCTTCATTTCAGAGATAGAAAAGGCTAAATCTTTGTTACTATTTTGCAGATTGAAATTCTTATGTACTGCCAGCAGACAAGTCGACAGAAGCTGTTGTACCAAGCTCTGAAAAACAAAATCTCTATTGATGACCTCCTGCAGTCCTCAATGGGCACTACTCAGCAAGCACAGACCACCACTAGTAGTCTCATGAATCTAGTCATGCAGTTCAGGAAGGTAAGGCTATTTAAAATAATATTTTTTTTTTAAAAGTACAATCATTCATGAGCATAGAACTAAAATACGGCTTCTGGAAAACACCATATAAAAAAAAAATCTGGCATAGGCAAGCAAATTTGCATGCAGTTCAGTTGGGTTTCTCATGCAGTGTAGGATGATGTTGGGGTCAAAGAGCTTTAGCTAAATGGTGCATGTGTCCACTAACTGGTTTGGCTCCAGCTTGGTTGTTGAAGGAAATCATTCACTTGGGAAGAAGAGGCGATAGCTGTCATGTGAATAGGAAAGGATACCATGCAGTATACAAACTTGAGTAGATAGACTAAAACAGCTGTGACATACTGATCAATATTAAAGTTTTAGTAATCAATAGTCATAGTTGATGTGGGATGTAAATACTGCATTGGACTAAATTAATGCCTCTGAGTGTTTGACATGCTGTCTTTCTTGTAGGTGTGCAATCACCCAGAGCTGTTTGAGCGACAAGAAACTTGGTCTCCATTTCACATCTCCCTAAAGCCATACCAGATTTCAAAGTTCATCTACCGTCACGGACAGATCAGGGTCTTTAACCACTCACGGGACAGGCAAGCCTACTCCACTTCCTCTCCAGCTTAGCATATTTAGTATTATTACTTAGACTTATTTTAGCTTTGTAAGTGCTAATTAACACCCTTACCTGATGTGCTTAAATGACATTGGCCAAGCGATGCATTCCTGGTTTTCTTTCGTTCATTCAGCTGTAAAGCATCTGATATCTGATGCTTTTTCTTAGTGGAATCCTGATCATCAGATATCACTTTGATTGAATAAGAAAGACAGAAAAAATAATTTAGAGTTGTTGCTGATGATGTGTAATAGAATTATGCTTTAAAAGAATTATTAAAAAAAAAAAGGAAAAAACCAACTGGTTTCCCTTCAGTGAATTTTCATGTTTAAGGAAGCTATCAGTGTATCTCTGTTGTGATATGATATATTGTGAGCATCTGCTAGTGCCTTGACAGCTTTTAATGCTTACTTTGGATGCATAGAAGCTGCTCGAGTGCAGTTTGCTGTTTTCTTTGACTGTCGCAATCCCTAATTAATTTTGTTTGCATTCAGTTATGAGAAATGCTCAGGGCAGAGATGAGAAAGCCATGTTTGAAGATGAGACTAACTGTTGTACAGCAATAAAAAATGCAATTCCAGAGCAATGGTGTGTTGCATTGTCAAATTAACAACAGAACATGTGGACTGATGATGCTTTTCAATTCCTGCCATGTAATTCCAGATATCCAGAGTACTGCAGTATTTATAATGAAGAGCTGAACGGTTACTCTGCTTTTTCTGCTGATTGTGTGATTGAGCATTACATGTGTTAACACCTTCTTAGTGATTTAGTTTGGTTTTATTGCTTTCCTTTTCAGGTGGTTACGGGTTTTACTTTCGCCTTTTGCACCAGACCACATCCAGCAGTCTCTCTTCCATAGGAAGGGTAGGTTCACAGTCCTGGGAAGCAAGTTGAGTTGCACACTTGCATGTGATGTTGTAATATGTTTAACTCTGGAGGAAGGATTGAGAGGCCAGATGAGTTAGTCCTCTGAGATAATCTGATTAGAACTTAATCATGGAATGGTTTGGGTTGGAAGGGACCTTAAAGCTCATCCAGTTCCAACCCCCCTGCCATCAGCAGGGACACCTTCCACTAGACCAGGTTGCTCAAAGCCTCATCCAGCCTGGCCTTGAACACTTCCAGGGAGGAGCAGCCACAGCTTCTCTGGGCAACCTGGGCCAGTGTCTGACCACCCTCACAGCAAAGAATTTCTTCCTAATATCTAATCTAAACCTACCCTCTTCCAGTCTAAAGCTTGTTAGAATTCTGTTAGCATTGGTACTCGTACTTATATTTCATTTGTTCAATGAGGAAGGGATGGAAGCAGCTGGAAGAATAATCTATGGACAACTTGTTATCTAGACACTGCTTAATCCTACTGCAGTCTCTTGTTCCATTCCTCCTGTCTTGTTTTAATTTACTTCAAGGGATTAATGCTGCCCCTTTAGGCTAATGTGAATTTTTCACAGATCCATTTTGGTACATTCTGCATTGTATGTTGAATAGTGGTTAAGATAAAATTTTCAGTATTTATAAATATTTATACATTTCTAAATTTTCTAAAAAAATCTAGATTAAATTAGGATTTCCTGTTTATTCACATAGATTTCTTGTATGCCGGATAATGTGTGTCTTGAATTGATGAAGTAAGTTTATTATTGTCAGTTATCAGTGTCTGTGAAATGTGTTGGCCTAACCTCAGTATTTCTGTGACATAGGCATCAATGAAGAAAGCTGTTTTTCTTTCCTCCGGTTTATTGATGTCTCTCCAGCAGAAATGGCAAACCTCATGAATCAGGGACATTTAGCCAGGTGAGGACAACTTTTTTTTTCCCTCTTTTAGTAATTATAGGAAAAGTACAGGTGATGTTAGAGGCATCTAAATGTAAACCTACATTTTCTGTGCCTCCTAATATTATAATTTGTCTATCGTTATCTAATATTACAGCAACTTCTAGAGTGTTCCTGCTGGTATAGGGCACCATTATGCAAGAAAATTTTTATGCCTCTGTCAAAAGAAAACCTCTGTTACAAAGATTTGACATTGTAAATACACAAGATGGTCAAAGGGTAACAGAAGAGTTTGCTTAGGATCACACTGTAGGTTGCTGGCATTATCAAGCTCAAAATCCAGACTTTGGAAGGCCAGTTTATTGCAACACTTACCAGGAGCATTTGAGTGTATGTTTTAACACACGTGGAATAAGCTTGTGTTGTGATAGTTGTTCTTCAGCTCCAAGCCATACTGTCTACTTTTCACACGTCCTGTTTTCAGTATGGAATGGAATTCCAAGGCGGGGGCTTAGGATAATGGATTTTTAGCATCATGAACTGTATTATCTTGGAAAGGGAGGTGATCTGTTTGAAGTTATAGTGTACTCTGCAACAGACGGTAGTACTCTGACTGGAGCTAGATAGTAACTGTAAGGAATTGGAGATTAAAAACAAGTCTTTATTAATAAATAAAGGTGTTTTGCTGAGTGCTTTGTAAGTGTAGTATTTTTTTATTGTTGTGGTTATTTGGGACCGCTGCTTCTTGTCTGTGTTTCAATAACAATATAAATGTCTCTTAATCTGTCTGAATGATCTTTATGATAAATTCTGCATTCACGATGCAGGTTGTTATGATTAATTTATATATGGAGCAATTTACATAGAACTCAGAGTGCAGTTTTAAGTAGTAGTGGCTAACTTGAGCTTGACTCTTTTAAATTAAGTGCTTCAAAGTGTATTCTGATTTAATGATTTAGATTCAGTTAAGCCACCTTAGAAAAAGTGAAAATGAGAGTAGTATAATTGGAAGATATCTAGCAAAAATAAATTCCTTTAAGTGAGGACACTGTAAGCCTGAAATCCTGAAAAAATATTTGTGTCAAATAGAGTTATGGTGTAAATATACTTAAGCATTTCTTTCATAAATCAGTGAATAACCGTATCTGCTGTGTTTTGTTTCAGATGGTTAGCTCTTTTCCTGTCTCTGAAAGCATCCTACAGGCTCCATCACATGCGCTCCTGGATGGAGACAGAAGGGGAAAAACAGCAGGGGTCACATTGTCTGAGGAACAGGGATTTCTTGCTTGATGTAAATTTCCCACT